GAATGCCTGAAGAGCTCCAGAGGCCCTTTTCTGGTTCCAGTCCTTAATGTGTGTTACAAGGACTTACTGTGCTTAATGTCTTCGGACCACTGTGTTTCTCTTCACACGTGAGAGCCTGATCTGATAGGAAACCTCACTGCAAAGCAGTGTCTTCTCGCTTTGGGTAAGGACGGGAGGTGGCCAGAATGTTTAGGAGAATTATTTCTGCCCCTAATGATTAACTAGGTTTCTGCAGAAAACTATTCAGGCTTGACTAGAAGAAATAATAGAGTCAGGGATTTTTCCCATAAAAATGTGAATCATCCTTTATATTTCTTGCTGTTTCTAGAAAGACAATTTAGTCTCATTACATGTTCATATATATATATATATTTTTTTTAAATTAATTAATTTTTTTTTTAGGGAGATTTTTGCTATAGGGTGCGTGCACTTGTGAGACAAACAGAGAAACAGAAAGCGAGAAATCACCCCTCTCGGGATTTTGGGTACACATGCACATGTGCCCTGTGTGAGTTTTTTAGTGACTGGATCTGAGACTCAAACATCAGTTGACTATGTGGAAGTCCAGCGATGTAACCGCTATGCCATTTGCTGTTCCCTAGATGTTTGTATTTCTGTTCACTAAGCAGGAAAAGGGGACATCTCTAGGGAATGAACACTTAACAAGTATTTTGAAGTATAATTCTAGGGATAGTAGCCTACTGCTGACTTTTTGTGGTGTCCAAAGAACTTATCTACCCACCGGTTTCTCTCTTTCTCTCTTCTTTTTCACAAACATTGCTGGGGACTCTGCATGTCAAACCTTGTGCTTGGTACTGGGGACTCTGGGTTTTTGGTCTAGCCCTCAAACTCCTAGAAATACATACGGAAGTGCCTGTGTGCACACACACCCAAGGTAGCACATCCTGAGTTCTGTAAGAGAGTGTAAGTTTGATCTCACAGGGCTTTAAGGGAGGATAGCACGTTTGGTTTGCAGAGGGAGGTGATCATTGTTGTGATAACTGCTCACAGTTATCACTGTGAGGATGATTGTTCTTCACTAATAAACTGTGAATTACTCGAGGGCTCAGATTATATCTCACTCACTTTTGCTTCCTTCGTACTTAGAGTCTGGTGCTAAGTAGGTGCTCAGTAAATGCCAAATGACTCTGGCTGCACATTGACTGTACTCTGATTTCAGGTGGCCATTAAGCAGATGAATCTTCAGCAGCAGCCGAAGAAAGAGCTGATTATTAATGAGATTCTGGTCATGAGGGAAAACAAGAACCCAAACATTGTGAACTACTTGGACAGGTAGGAGCAGTAGAGCCTGACAGGGACAGGGCCTCTGGGAACAGTAGACGGTGGGGCTATAAGAAGAGAGGACATTACCAATATGGGAACCTCCTCCGTTACCCTGCCTGATGCTGTTTGCCTCTGACTGCTGCAAAATCCTTGGGCTTAAGCTAAATCCTGCCACCCTGTATCTTCTAACAGTCGTCCCTAGTTCTGTTCGAAGCCCTTCAGCCCATCTGCCTGAGTTAAACATCTAGGCTTTCCTTGGTTCTGCATCCCAAATCTTTCCTTATCCTGCTCACCCACCTTAGTATTTTATTTATCTGTACTGTCTTAAAATGCAGTATTCAGGGGCCAGCAGGTGATGTGATTACGGTGGCCAGATCCTGTATAACCTACTGCATGGTTTGAGCCCTGGACCAAGCGGCTTGAAAAATAGGCCCATGTATATGTGTGTGCTCAAAATCCTGAGAGGACAGAGAAATGGAGGAGAAAGAATTGCAACATGACCATTCCCCCATGGGGATGCTTTCTCACTTTCCGTCTGTCTGTCTCTCTCTGGTGAGCACATGTTCCCTCCCCCTCACCCAAATGTTTTAAATGTAATAATTAATGCTAAATGTTTCATTTGAGATGTCACAACTATGGAAAAAGTAGGACTCTTTAAACTCAGTACAACTTAATGTACTAGGTTCCTATGGGAACGTGGACTTACTGTTGTGTGATTGTTGTATTGTATATTGCAGCGTGGTAGTGGTGGAAATGGGAGCCCAGTGGACATGGTATGCTTGGGTCATCCTGGGCCACCCCCAACCCTGCTCTGTAGGGTTGTCTTCCATGAGGCCGGTTCCTGCTACTGGGAAGGTTGACCACTGGAAGCCGGAAGGTCCAAGGCCTGGGTGCCAGCAGACCTGGTGTTGGGGGAGGCCTACTGTCTGTCCATATGTGGTGTCTTCTATCATGCTTTCACGTGGTGAACAGGGCAGAGCAGTTCTCTGGAGCTTGTCTTAAAGAGCACTGATCCCATTGAACACATCTCTGCCACCACAATCTAATCACCTCCCAGACGCCCGTCTCCTATTGCCATCACATTGGTGACTAGATTTTCAGTATATGAATTTTAGTGGATACAGACATTCAGACTGTAGCAGTTCATGACCCTATAGTGTTCTCTATTAAAGGAAATTATTGAAAAAATATTTAGTCATGTTTACTGTTCATGTAAATATAAAAGTTACAAGACTTCTAGTTACCAGACTGTAGTTTTATGGAAAGAGCATCAGATGAGTAGTCAAGAGACTAGGAATCAAATCTTAATCTTTGCTCATGTCCATTTGTTAAAATTAAAAAAAAAAAAATCTCTTTAGCAGAAGTCCCAGTATAAGGCTGAAGATAAAGCTCAAGCCAACCCAAGAAAGGTGTTTTCCAATCTAGCTCCTTTGTCCAGGGCTAGCAGAAGGGTCTGTATGGCTCTGGATTAGCCTCTTTTTTGTTTTAAGTCCATTTATTTGTTTCTTACATGAGCGAGAGAGAGAGAGAGAGAGAGAAACAGACAGAAAGCACCCCAATGTGGTTTTAACACCATGATGCACTCCCAGCCACAGATCGGGGCATGTCCATGCCCTGCTCCTTTAGGGAAGTCTACAGGTGCAAACCAGAGCCCTTCCATGTGAGTAAACTTTGCAGAGAATCAAATTTTCCCACTGCACCACCATCTGGCCCCAACCTTGTTTTTGTTCATCTCGTTTTACAGATGAGGAAACATTGACTGGGCAGGCTCTGAGTAATCCAGCCCCTGAGCGAGACAGTCAGTTCTCACATCAGCCCAGTTTCTCCCAGTGATACATTACCAAATGGTAGCCCTGGCTTATCAGAAGAGGCTTTGGCTCTGCAACCCTAGCTAAATTAATTCCATTCCTAGAATAACAGATCCTCAAAATAGAGATCATTCTCAACATGACTGCCTACCACACTTTACAGCTTTTAAAGGACTTCTATCACCATGATTTATTTATTATTTACAAGAATCTTTTATTTTTTTCATTAATTTATTTAGTAAATTGACATCTGCTATTCTAGACTTAGGGATAGAGTTTTGAACAAGAGCCAGTACTTGGTCTCATGGATCTTGGGTCTAGTAGAACTCTCAGAGATGTTTGGTGGCTCTTCCTAATGTTGAGAACATTTACCAAATCCCTTCTTTGTCAGATGTTCAGATGTTCCTTGTTTGGATGCTTCTAGAGATATGAGAACTGTGCCAGTTTTTCTAATTTTAGGAAGTATTCCTTTGCGTTGTGATAAAATACAATTTTATTATATCTTCAATTGAGCCATCTTAGTTGTGTCCTTTGGGGCTTCACAGAACACGTATGCTTTATTTGCTTCAAGAATTTGCTTAAGAGATTTAAAGTCAGTGAGGTTTAAAGTCTCTGCCTCCCAGATTCTGATTTTCCTCAAAGTGAGGAATCCTGGCCTCTTCCGTGCTGGCTGAGACGCAGTTTCACTCTGTGTAGGCTTACCCTCGGAACCCACTGCTGTCACTTGAGCTCTCTGACGGCTCCTTCTTGCTCTTCACCTGTGCTCTTACAGTTACCTTGTGGGAGATGAGCTGTGGGTTGTCATGGAATACTTGGCTGGAGGCTCCTTGACAGACGTGGTGACAGAAACCTGCATGGATGAAGGCCAGATTGCAGCTGTGTGCCGGGAGGTAAGGCCAGGGGCCAAGCAGCTTCGGGCAGGAAGTGGTCTCTATATCCCTATCACTTGAAGTTCCACACCCAGCATGATTTCAGCCTGGGCTCTGCCGAGTGGGAGAAATTAGTGCAGGTGCCCCCATCATTCCTGCCCTAGTCCTGTGTTTTATAATTGCTATCACTATGATTTTTTTTAAGGAAAGCTTTATTCTATCCATTGTAGAAAGATTAGAAAATACCAGAAAATGTGTACTTAAAATGTCATTAACAATTCAGTCTTTAAAATAACTGCTGTTGGGATCAGCAGATGGTATAATGGTTATATCTCTGGACTCCCACGTAGTCAGCTACGGTTTGAGTCCTGGACCCAGTGACTTAAAACTCATGCCAGGCGCATGTGCATGCATGCCCAAAATCACAAGAGGAGACTGGAGGAGAAGGGATTGTAGTGTGGCCATCTCCTTGAGGGGTGTTTTCTCGCTTTCTGTCTCCCTCTCTGTCTGTCTCTCTGGAAAATGCATATGCCCTATAGCAAAAATCTCTCTAAAATAAATAAATGAATAAATAATAAAATAACTACTGTATATACATTATTTCCCCTTCTCTCTTTTAGATGGACATATCTTTTAATTGTATTTTTATTCTGCTCTGTTACTCCACTAATGTGCTATGAATGCTACAAATGCAGGGTATGAAGGCAGTGGCAGAAGTAGGGTAGGATAGGCAGTTGCAGAAAGGGGAGTCAAGGCAGGTGGCACCACAGACATGTGTAAACATTTAAATGCTGTATAGAAGCAAGCCAGCAACCATCTAGGGTAAAATACTCCGAGGCAAAAGAAACAGCAGACAAAGCTCAAATAGATATTTTCCTTTCTCCTCATTGCTATAAAATTTTTAGGGCCTGTAATATGTTGGTGCAAGAGAAAGAGAAAACAGTAAAGCCTTTTATGAGATGTTGTGTCCCCAGGGGATAACTATGTTTTCACGTTTCCATTTAAAAAAGAAGCTACAGGGATCCAGCAGTTAGTGTAATGGCTATGTCACTGGACTCCCACGTAGTTGACCGCGGTTCGCGTCCCGGACCCGGTGGCTTAGAACTCACGCCAGGCGCGTGTGCGTGCATGCCCAAGATCCCGAGAGGAGAATGGAGGAGAAGGGATTGCAGCGTGACCATCCCCCCTGGGGGGTGATTTCTCACTTTCTGTCTCTATGTCTCTCTCTGTCTGGCGACCGCACGTGCCCTATAGCGAAAACCTCTCCAAAAAAAAAAAAAAGGGGAGAAGAAAGAAGCTACAAAGGGAAGATACAAAGGGAATAGTGAGGATAATTGTGTATTTTGCTGATGAGACTCAAATTTTCCAATGATCCTATAATGGACAAATTTCAAAATCAGGGCAAGAATAGAAGATTAAGGTGAAGTTCAAGATTTTATGGGACTAATACAGTTGCATATTTGGACTTTGATGGTGTAAGATCTGGAAGCATACAGATGACATTACGTAGTTGTATTTAATTGATGTTAAGAAAAAGAACACGAAGTCAACACTACCGTGGTAAATATGGCCACCTTTGCATTAACAACTTTGGGTCTAGAGTGCACAGTAGTAGGTTAATGAAATTATCTACCAGCCTGGATTCTTAGTTTTGTTTCTTTGCTCTACCATTAATACATGCTCCTCACCCTCCCACCCCCTCTCCATTTTTAAAATTTCTTGTTTTCTGTATGCTTAGCTTTTTCCCCCCATCCTTGCTTCCCTATCTCTTACCCTCTGCCATCTCCCATTCTCCTCCCACACTGTCTCTGGTATCTATGTTTGCTTTCTATACCTGTTTCCCCCCACATTTTATTGAATCACCAAAGACCCTAATCAATCCAAATACCCTCATAGCAAACACAGGTTACACACACATTTCCATGAACACAAGTCTAACTTTACGCATCCTATAAAGTAGTACCTAGCTGGGGCTACATATCCTACTGCAGTCATTGAATAGATTTTTTTTTTTTCTGAAACATTTTTTTTTTTGTAACTCAATTTACATCCCTTCCCTAAGCATCATCACAACACACAAAATGTGATCTCCCATCCAGTACACACTGTATAGTGACTCAATCATGCACATTACAAAAAATTTTCCATTTCTAGTTCCTAGAAATATTTCCACCCCTCTTTCTGACCCTCTGTCCCTTCCCACCCTCCTCTCACACCACCTCTGGTGTCCACAATTGTCCTTCATTCCCTTCCCACCCACATTGCATTGATCACACAATTTCCTACTTACTCTAACTACTTTCAATGGTGAGTTCACTCATTACTGCTAAGAAAACCTGTTTTAACTTAAATCAAAGAAACCCCAGGAGCCTTTTTAGACATTTTTTCCTAATCACATTTCCTCTATGAAATTTTAATACCTTAGATAATACTGTGTATCTGTTTCTATACTGTGGCTCTTTGGAGGCCACACACTATTGTGATACTAAGAGTTTTTCACCCTCCACCTCCAGAAACCTTTCACTGGTTTAGAATACATGCATATATGAGTACTTGGGGAAATGATTTTGCCTCACATTATTCATCTGTAAATGGAAATTGCAAAATTCACACTCTATATGCCTTCAGGGTATTATACGGATCAAAAAGCTTTTGGAAGAAATTTAAATGTTGTAGTGGTGTTACTATTCTTAACTTCTAGTAGAGATTATCTCCTCCCTTTTTAAACCGCTTTGTTGAGATATAATTCACATACCATAAAACTCACTCATTTAAAGTACGCAATTCACGGGTTTTCAGTGTATCATAGAGTTCTAGTGTGTTCATATAGTATAAGCATCATCTTAATAGATTTTAGATCATTTTTCATTGCCCCAAAAAGAACCTTTATAACCATTAACAGTGGCTTCTCATATCCCCTCACCCTGACTCTCCCAGCCCTGTGCAAACACCAGTCTATTTTCTATGTGTATAATTTGCTTGTTCTTGACATTTTATATAAAACATTTTATATTAAAATGTTTCTAGACATTTCTTTTTAATATGAGCTCTTTTGTGGCTGGTTTCATCACTTAGCATAATGTTTTGAAGATTTACTCAGGTTGTAATATGTCAGTGCTTCATTCCTTTTGGTTCCAAATAATAATCCATTTCATTTATCTATTAATCAGTTAATGGACATTTGGGTTGTTTAATTTTTGGGCTATTATGCAAAATGCTGGCATCCAGAAACTTGGTCTCCTTACATTTTGGGGAAAAGCCAGTTCTGGATATTGATTTGCTCTTAATGTAACCACTGCCGTGTCCTTAGAAATGAAAGGATACAGGGTTGCCAGGTAGTGTGGTGCTTAAAGGTGCCGGGCTCCCACATGGCCGACTGTGGTTTGAGTCCTGGGCCTGAGCTTGCTTTCTTACTTTCCCTCTCTCTGTCTTTCTCTGGTCAAATTAATAATAATAGAGACCACCAGATGGTGTAATGGGTGCCTTGCTAGATTCCCATGTAGTCCACTGTAGTTCAAGTCCCAGACCTGGTGGCTTGGAACTTACACTGGGCACATGTGCGTGTGTGCCCGAAATCTTAAGAGCAGAATGGAGGAGAGGGGATTGCAGCATGGCCATACCCCCTGGGGGGTGATTTCTTACTTTCTGTCTCTCTGTCTCTCCGGTGAGTGCACTCACCCTATAGCAAAAATCTCTCTCTCTCAAAAAGAAGTAAATAATAACAAGTCCCAGAACCAGTGGCTGCTGGCTGTTCTCGGTCATGGGGGGAGTGCTCACCGGCCAGTGAGGCTGGGGGACCAGCAGTTGGCATAATGGCTATGTCGCTAGACTCCCATGTGGTCAACTGCAGTTCAAGTCCTGGACCTGGTGGCTTAAACTCATGCTGGGAGCACGTGTGTGCGTGCCGAGATCCCGAGAGGAGAATGGAGAAGGGATTGCGGTTTGGCCATTCCCCCTAGGGGGGTGATTTCTCACTTTCTTTCTCTCTGTCTCTATCTTTCTGGCGAGTGCATGCACCCTACAGAAAAAAAAAAAAAAAGCCTCTCAGAAAAAAGGTATTAAGTTATGTCTGTTTGAATCCTATTTTCATATTGGTTAGCATTTTCAGATTTATTAAAAATTATTCAATTTTATTATTATTTTTAATTTCCTATAGGGCACATGCGCTCACCAGAGAAAGATGAGAGAGAGAGAAAGAGAGAGGAGAAGAGAGAGCTTGAAAGTGAGAAAGCAAGCCACCAAATCTGGGACTTGAACTGTGGTCAGCCATGTGGGAGTCGAGAGCCTTCCACCTCTGTACCACCTGCTGGCTCCTTCAGTGTTTTTTTAATTGGTAAAAGGTAACAATTTAGCTTTGGGTTGATGAACTCAAAACTATTTGATTTAGTAGAAAACCTGGGATCATCTCCTCTGATCCTCACATTTTACAGAGGGAAAAACAGAGGAGCAGAGAGTGGTGTTTCCCACGATATGGTCAGTGAGGTAGTGACAGAACAGGTGTCATTCTGTCTCAGTTACTTATTCTGCCTACTAAGTGTTTTCTGGGCTGGTTGTTTTATATTTTTTGCCAATTTCAACCACTCCTGTAACTTAAAAAAAAAAAAGATAAAAAAGATAGCACTTCCTTACAAATAACGTGTAAATATTTATCTCTGCATGGAACTTTAGGTTCATAAGTTTGGTTGCCTGTTAGATATTTGACTTAAGTTGTTCTGTGAATAGTTGAAATTCAGTACATCTAAAATAGTACAAAAGATGTCCGTGCCAACATAGGATTATCCTTCTGACTGGCGGCCTCTAACAGCACCTCCATACGCCGACCTTTCTAATTGTTTCCCTCCAGTTCTGGCCTTGCGATATCCTTTTTATTCTTGTTCATTCATTTTTCTTGGGCCTCAGACTCCTTATCAAAGATCTAATGTTCTCTTAAGAAACAAAACACAGGCTGGAGGATGGCGTGGTGGTTGAGGATGCTAGACTCCCACCTGGCCGACCACGGTTCGAGTCCTGGACCTGGTGGCTTACCTTCTCACTTTCCATCTCTCTCACTCTCTCTCACTCTGTCCCTCTCTGGTCAAATTTAAACAAACAAACAAATTGATTAATTAATTAATTAAATTTTAAAAACCACATATATACCAAATATGTTGGAGGAACTTCTTTGAAAAAGTATTATATGGTGGAAGGCAGCACAGGGTGTTAAGAGAATACTTAGAAGATAGAAAACTTGGGACCAGCAGTTAGTGTAATGGCTATGTCGCTGGACTCCCACGTAGTCAACCGCGGTTCGAGTCCCGGACCTGGTGGCTTAAAAACTCACACTGGGCGTGTGTGCATATATGCCCAAGAACCCGAGAGGAGAATAGAGAGAAGGGATTGCGGCGTGGCCATCCCCCCTGGGGGGTGATTTCTCGCTTTCTGTCTCTGTCTCTCTCTGTCTGTCTGGTGAGCACACGTGCCCTATAGCAAAAACCTCTCCAAAAAAAAGGAAAAAAAAAACTTGATTCTAGACCTAACTCTGCCACTATTTTGAGAAAAGTCATTTTACTCACTAGGGTCTTGCTTCTTTTTGTCTTAAAATGTGGGGGTTGAATTAGTTGATTTTCTAGTAAGTCTTCTGTGTTAAATGTCCTTCCTCTCTCCCTCTGCCCATACCATTTCAATAGTGTTTGCAGGCTCTGGAGTTTCTGCATTCAAACCAGGTCATTCACAGAGACATCAAGAGTGACAATATTCTGTTGGGAATGGATGGCTCTGTCAAGCTAAGTAAGTAGGAGTGATAGTAATCACTCTCCCTGTGGGGCCCTGTCTCCTGTGGGATGGTTATTAAATAACAGTGCCTTCAGCACTTTCCAAAGGGTCTTTATATGTCACTGAATATGTGGGCTCTTTGTAGTTCTCAGTGTTATCATGAAGTGTCAGTTCATTATTTTTTCATTAATTTACATGTTAAGCCCCCCCAAAAAAATACTGAATGCCTACTTTATGCAAGCCCCATGATGGACATTGAGGATTTATTTTGCCTGCCTTCAAGCAGTATTTCATTTAGAATGAGAAACATTTAGTGAATAATTTGAAAAAATGTTTTATGTAATCTCATTCATTCTTTCACCAAACTTTTCAAAAAGTTTATTCCTTCCATGAGCAAGAGAGATGGAGGGAGGTGGAAAGAGACAAAGACAGACAGACAGACTCAGCATCCCCAGCAGAGACTTGACACCTCTACCTGACCCCATCTTGAGCCAGCTTGACCCCTAGGGATAGGCACATGGTCGGCTCTTGTTGAAGGAGTATTATAACTGTATATCCTTTCTTTTCTTTTCCTTTCCCAGCTGATTTTGGATTCTGTGCACAGATAACCCCAGAGCAGAGTAAACGGAGCACCATGGTGGGAACCCCATACTGGATGGCGCCAGAGGTTGTCACACGGAAGGCCTATGGGCCCAAGGTTGATATCTGGTCCTTGGGCATCATGGCCATCGAAATGATTGAAGGGGAACCCCCTTACCTCAATGAAAACCCTCTGAGAGTGAGTGCTACCAGTCTTATTTCGTTATTTGGGCCGTTGTCTCTTGTCCCAGGAAATGGGACTTGGACCATTTTCTCTGACTTTTAACCTGGATATCTCTTTTCTGGATAAAACTAGGCACTGTTGAACTTAAAGTATAAATACTCAAAGGAAAAGAATATTAGCAGTCATTTAGTCATTCAACAATGATTTAAGTTCCTATCATATGAAACTGTTCTAATAATAAAACAAATCAATATGTAGTAATAGACAGTAAGTGCTGTGAAAATGGCAGAGTTGAGTCATAATGGGGAACGAGGGTGTCTATGTCTCCCCTCCTTTGTTTAGAGCAGAGGAAAGTTCTCTCTTCTGTTATTTTTGCAGAGACCTAAGGAAATAAAGGAGTAAGCCATGAGATTACTCTTAGGAGACTTCTAGGTATCAAGTATATAAGTCTTCTAGATATCAAGTGTACAAGGGACTTGATGTGACAATGAGCTTGGTGCATCCTGGGAAAAGCTAGGAAGCCAGTGTCCCTGAAGTGAGTGAGGTGAGGAGGGTGGAGGATGACAGGCAAAAGCAGAGGGGACCCACAGGTAAGATCATGGAGGCCTTGGTGAGAATTTGTTCTTATTCTGTAGAGCTGGGAAGTCATTGGAAGATTTGGCCTAAGGAATAATATGTCAATTTTGATTTAATTGGATCATTCTGGTTACTTTTATGGAAAATAAACTGAGGGACTGTTGTAATAGCTAGGATTAAAGTAGTGGCTTGGACCACACTGGTGAGAATGAGAAGTGGTCAGACTCAGGAACTGTCTCAAAGCGATACTCGACAAACTGAAGTGGATATGAGGAAAGAGGAATAGCAGTGACTATAAGGTTTAGGTCGGAGTTGCGTAAAAAAAAAAAAATTAAGTTGCCATTTACTGAGATGATGATGAACATGGTTAAGTGGGGTAGTAAAGAGCTGATTTAGGGCCAGCCCTGTAGTCTGGTAGTTAGGGGAATCAGATCCCACATGACTGACTATGGTTTGAATCCTGGTTCAGGCGGCTTGAAAAACATGCCAGGTGTGTGTGCATGCCCATAATCCTGAAAGGATGGAGAAATGGAGATGGGATTGCAGTGGAACCATGCCTCATGGGGAGTGCTTTCTCCCCCTTCTATCTCTGTGTCTCTGTCTCATGAGTACATATGCCTTCTGCCAGTCAGAAGAAAAAAAAATGTGTTGAATGCATTAATTTGAAATATTCATTAGATATTCAAGTGGAGCTGTTGAGTAGAGCAGAGTATGTGAGTCTGGAGCTCAAGGGTGAGAAGTCAGGACTACAAATATAAATGTATCTGTGTAGCATATAGTTGGTGTTTAGAATCAGAAGTGGATGGATCACTCACCTAGGAGGTGCATGCAGTTAAAGAAGGAAGAGGTTTGAGCACTGAGTTCTGGGTTAGTCCAGTGTTTATAGGCTGGAGGAACTAGCAAAAGTGGACCAAGGAGTGGATTTCGTAGTGTGACAGAACTGAGAGAAGAGCATCCTGGAGGACAAGAAACGGCGTTTTGAGAAGGATGGGTTACTGTGTTACTGGTAGGTGGAGTAAAACAGACTGAAGAACAAATTTTTAAAAAGTGTGTATGGGTATACACACACACACACACACACACACACACACATACACACATATTTAATTCCAGTTATTATTTTTTAATTTGACCAGAGACAAAGAGAAAGGGAAAGTGAGAAAGCAAGCCGCCAGGTCCGGGACTCGAACTGCAGTCGGCCCTGTGGGAATCCAGTGCCTTTAACCACCATACCACCGGCCAGCCCAAAACAATTGTTTATTTTTTTAATTAATTTTTTTTTTTTTTTTTTTTTGCTATAGGGTGCATGCAGCTGCCAGAGAGACAGAAAGCAAGAAATCAGCCCCTGGTGAGATGGGCACACTGTAGTCCCTTCTGCTCTCCGGATTTTGAGCATGCATGTACACGTACCCAGTGTGTTTCAAGCCACTGGGTCTGAGATTCAAACCGTGGTCAACCATGTGGGTATCTGTTGCCGTAACCACATGCCACTGGCCCCAAGCAATGAACTTTGGATTTGCCAATGTTAGTGGCTATTGATGACCTTGACGATCAGTTGTGACTAGAGAGATGGAGATGAACACTTTGTTAGAGTAAATCTTTGAGAGCAGGAGAAGAGAAAATTAAGATGGCATGTATAAACACTTGCTTTTTGTTATTTTCCCCCCTTAAAGGAGTTTTGCTGTGAGGGTGACACACAGAACAATATCTTCAAGCAGAGTCAGGGACGGATTTGTTTGCCTTTTTAAAAGATGATGTGTGTTGATGGGAATGATCCTGTGGAGAGGGAGAAAATGGTCATGCACAGAGAAGTGACAACTGTAGGAGTGATGTCCTGAAGCAGATGAGGACATTCCATCCGAGCACAGGCAGTTTATCCATTGTAGTGAGAGAGGGAAAGCAGCGTGTAATCAGCAGGGGGAGGGAGAGCGGGTGTGTCAGCAGAGATGCAGGCCAGTTGGCAGTCCGGGGTGGAGGCACACGGGAAAGTTCTCCTGATTGCTCTCACTTCCTGCAGCCTCCCGTGCAGTGCAGGAATCCCGTGTGTGGTTGCTGGTAGGTGGTGGCCTACCCTGAACCACCTGCTCACGTCACCCTGGATGTCACTGGTTGTTCAGAGTGTGTCAGTGTTTGAAACTGAAACAGCCTTCTCTGGTGTCCCAGCCCTGCCTTTTGGCTCTACATAGAACCCAACCTCCCTGCCTCAAGATGGCCTCCAGAGATTTGAGGATGATGACCGGTGGGACAGGACAGAACTAACACTGGGATTAGAGTCAGAGGACACACCAATCTTTACGTTTCTGGACCCTATCTGTGAAATGGGGATGGCAATTTTTGCCTTGTCTGTTACCCAGGGTTAGTGTGCTCTTTGAATTAGGCAGTGCTTACTTGAGTACTTGGTGAGTTAAAGTGCTGAGTGTTTGGTAAGGTTTAGTAGTATTGTTTTTCTTTACCTTTCTCAAGAGATATGTCGTGTTAGGGCAACAGTGAACTTGTTTGTGTTTAACTGAATACGTTTTTTTTTTTTTTTTTAAGTTTTGCTGTAGGGCATGTGCACTCACCAGAGTGAGAGGAAGAGGGTATAGTGAGAAAGTACTTCCCAGAAGGGGTAGCCATGCCGCAGTCCTTTCTCCTTCAGCCTCGGGATTTGGAGCACGCTTGCATGTGTATCTGGCGTGGTTTTCAAGCCGCTGGGTCTGAGACTCAAACAGCACAGTTGGCCATGAAAGATCCAGCACCTTAATCTCCAGGTCACCTGCCGACCCTGAATACTTACCTTTTAGATTCGTCTCCTGCTGGAAGCGATCAGTTCTTGAATGGCTGAGGTGAAGGTACTGGGAGTAATTTCTGCCAGCAAGTAGGCAGATGCTTAATTCATCAGGCAAAATGAATAATAAACCTTTAGATCTATAATCAAAATAGCTCAGGTTTGTGGCATTGTAAGTTTACAAAGTGCTCTCTATATACACTAACATTTTTATATACATATGAGTTAGGCAGTATTCTCCTTATTCTACAGATGAGGAAGTTGGAAGCTCAGTGGCTTGCGTGTGGTCACAAGACCTTTGTATGTTAAAACTAGTCCTTAGCTCATAGGATGTCCAGGGTACCATATCGGGCACTCTGCACCCTAGAGCATAAGGCATCTGGCTGTATTTCTAGAGGTGCGTTTGGAGGCCAGGAGAGAACCCTAGTTGGCGCTCACAGAGATTCTCCATTTGTACTGCCAGGCCTTGTACCTCATTGCCACCAACGGGACCCCGGAGCTTCAGAACCCAGAGAAGCTGTCATCTATCTTCCGGGACTTTCTGAACCGTTGTCTTGAGATGGACGTGGAGAAGAGGGGTTCAGCTAAAGAGCTGCTTCAGGTAACTGTCCTTGTATGAGAAAGTACCTATTTTTTTTTTCTTTTATTGAGAGATTTTTGCTATATGGCGTGTACACTTGCTGGAGAGACAGACAGATAGCGAGAAGTCACCCCCCAGGGAGGATGGCCACACCACAGTCCCTTCTCCTCTATTCTCCTCTCAGGATTTTAGGCATGCATGCACATATGCCTGGCTTGCATTTTAAGCTGCTAGGTGCAGGACTGAAACCCATGGGTCAATTATGTGGGAGTCCAGTGATACAACCATTATGCCATCTGCTGGCCCAGATGTACCTAATTTAAGAAATCACTAAATCAGGTCTTTTTAACTTTATTTTTGTCTGTAACATACTCTATTATAAGACTAGGTTTCTCTCTTACCACTTTCCATACTCACTCCAAATTCCTAGTTTCCCAACCTTCATCCCTGGGCCTTTGCTCATATTATTCCCTTAGCCTCTTCCTCAGCCTATTAAAACTGCATATTTTCCTAGGTTTAGCTTAAAAAATCTACTTTTTGCGCTCCTATTGAGATTTGCCACTTTGTTATTCCTTTCATAGAAACTTACTTTTTATTGAGAGTGAGATTTTTGCTGTAGGGCACGTGCACTCATTAAAGAGATAAGGGAGGCAGAAAGCAAGAAATCACCACCCAGTGGCCACATCACAATCCCTTCTCCATTCTCCTCTTGGGACCTTGGACATGCATGCACACGTGTCTGGTGTGACTTCTAAACCTCTGGTTCCAGGACTCAAACTGCTGTTGGCCACATGGGAGTCCAACGCCTTAGCCCCTATACCACCTGCTGGCCCTCAGTACCTCTTTATGTTCTGTGTCCCAATAGGAGTTGATGTAAATCCCAGCAAAGAATATTTGTATGTATATATATATGCGTGTGTGTATTCACTCATAGAATATGACCAATTAAGGGAATTTTAAGTATGGCAGGAGAATTATATATGCTAATCATTGAGTTAAATAGCTGCATAGACCCATCACATTTGGGTCTCCGTTTTCTAGAAGCCAGAGAGAAAAAATGTGATAATTCCTATTTCTTTCTTTCTTTTTCTTTTTCTTTCTTTTCTTTTCTTTCTTTCTTTTTTTTTTTTTTTTTGAGAGGTTTTTGCTATAGGACACATGCACTTGCCAGAAAGACAGAGAAGCAAAAAATCACACCCCCCCCAAGGGGGAATGGCCATGCCACAATCCCTTCTCCATTCTCCTCTCAGGATCTTGGGTACACATGCACATGCACCTGGCGTGAGTTTAAACTGCCAGGCCCAGGACTCGAACCATGGTCGAACCATAGGAGTCCAATGACATAACCATTATGCCAATTGCTAGTTCCCCTATTTCTTTTTTTTTTTTTAAATTTCTTTCTTCCATGAGCAAGAATGATGGAGACAGCATCCCAAAAAGGGTTCTCATGCCACTACCCAACTCCAGCTTCAGCTAGACCTGGATCACAGACAAGACATGTGCCCTACAAGGTCTTCAGACAAACAGTGAGATGCTTCCCATGTGGGTCTGTTTACAGAGCATTGTTTCACCCTGTGCCATTGGCCTTTTTCCTTTTTCTTTTTTCTTAAGTTTCTTTCTTTCATAAGCAAGAAAGGTCTCTCTAATTCTTTTTTTTTTTAAGAGATGAGGCTTAGAACTGGATCATTTGCCCCGTTCTCTTATCTCCCCCAAGTTCCAAATGC